AATGTTAATTTTACTGTTTGCGTATTTCCCCTTTAAAAAAATGACTTAATAGAAAATACAATACCAAATTATCGGGCTGCCGTCGTAGTAATAGATAAATATTAAATGATTATTGCTTTCAAGTAATTTTTGGGGAAGATTCGATTTTCTGCACCCAGACTTTTATATAGTTTTTTAAATCTACGTATAAAAATAAATAAATAAAAACCCAAGTGCGACATAAATTTACAACATTAATAATTGTTCAGGTAAATTAGATGAATTAAGAAGTTATTTATCCAGCTACTAGCGAATATTTGTAGAGAAAACGAAATCTTACCTTAGTTTTCCAAAAGATCTTTTAAAAATTATTCTAATTACGCATCTAAGTACAAAATATGTCAGTTATTTTAAGAATGCAACGATATTTCTCGTTGTTAACTGAAATCTTGATAATTATCTAATCTCTAATAATTATCTTGAAATTAACCTTTTCGTCTTGTTTTTAAATAACCCGCTGAAATTAGGATGAAAAATTTAATTTAAAATTACATTTTGAGACAAATTACGAATATTTGCTAAATTATATATTCTGGTTTATACCAAATTACCAATATTAAGAGATTGTACAACGGGGAAAAAAACGAAACAATTAGAATAACTATTGATTTAATAATCAGATTTTAATGTACTAGGACTCAATCTCCATGGCTCTTGAGGATGATCTCAAATATGCTAATTAGTTAGTGCAAACGATATTTTAACTTAAGAAATCCGACACAAAAACGTGCTTTCTTTGAATATAATGCCTTTTTTACAATGAATTACGATGATTATGTTCTTGACCCCCAAAACATAGGAAGTAGCCGCAATCGGGTAAATATGGCCCAGTTTTTTTTTGGTCAGTGCTGTTGAAAGTTTGGACCTATTAATGTTAATTTTGCTTCATGCGTATTTCGCCATAGTTCGAGAATTAGGAAAATTTTTGCACGCAATTATAAAGTTCGTTTATCCAATTACTTTAAGGAATTTAATTTTATATTCAAGATACAGAATTTGTACGAAATCAGTCGAATAATTCCTTCGGAATCTAGTTTTTAATGTCTGGTTTTTTAAAAATTCGATTTCTAAAAAAAGTTCAAAGGTTTTTTCCTTAATTGTAAAATATTGTATGACACAACGACGAGACATAACATTAAAAAAAATCATTTATTTACAATTTTTTTAATTTTATCTTTGGTTAAAAAGCAAATTAAAGAAAGACAAAATATTCTAACTGCTTCTCTAAATTTTAAAGTGATGTTTCATTACAAAAACTCTCGTCTATTTTCATAAAACTAACATGACGTGACCCACTAAATTCAAATATATAAATTTAGACTAAATAAAAATCAACCTAAGTTCACATGGTCATACATGCCTTTCTCTGTTTTTGTCTTGCATTATCTTATTGGATATATTGTTAAGAAGTTTAAACAAAACTTTATATAGAGAGCTTTTGATCAAAAAGAAAATTAATCTGAAAAAATATAATTGGAAAATAAAGATCAATAAATATATTTTTCAGGAAAAAATTATTTTAAAAAAGAAGGAAATCAATAATATAGTGAACATTAAATCTGTGTTTCGTTCCTCCCCCCCTAACATGGTGCTCCAGGTAATCACCCGCCTAGCCGCCGGTCCTGCCTGGATGCTTCTAAAGCAAAAAAGGATGTTCTAAAAGCTCAGAATGTGATTTCAACGGCGTTGTATAGTGTCTTCTAAAAGGCATTACGAATGGATTTAATAAAGCAGGCTGCTGTGTATCCAATGGGAAAGACAGTCATTCGGAATAAAATTGCAGAATGTGATTTCAACGGCGTTGTTCAGTGTCTTCCATAAGGCATTACGAATGGATTTTAATAAAGTAGGCTGCTGTGTATCCAATGGGAAAGACAGTCATTCGGAATAAAATTGCAGAATGTGATTTCAACGGCGTTGTTCAGTGTCTTCTAAAAGGCATTACGAATGGATTTAATAAAGCAGGCTGTTGTGTATCCAATGGGAAAGATAGTATTTCGGAATAAAATTGCAGAATGTGATTTCAACGGCGTTGTACAGTATCCTCTAAAAAGCATTACGAATGGATTTAGTAAATCAGGCTGCTGTGCATCCTATGGGAACGTTTGGGGGCGTTATATCCAATGGGTAAAATTGCGTGACGGAAGATCTTCCAAAGTCGATGACGCGCAAATGGGCTACAACACACATCCCATTACTTTTCAATTCCTGGAACACCTTCGAAAACGATGCGTGAAAAATATCGCAGAATATACCCACAACTGATCAAG